GAATAGTGCCTGAGCTTCCCAGTGGTCAGGAAAAAGCTTGCAGGGAGCAGATGAGCGATTCCTTTTGCATTTTCCATCCATCAGGAAAAGCTGCATCTGAAAAAATAATAGCTGAACTGGAAAATAAAATTAAACAAGTCTGAACAAATATGGAAACCATCCCTGACCTGATATTGGAAAAGAGTCTTAAGCGCTAGAAAGGATAGAGGCAGAGGGAAGGAATGGAAGAGTTTCAGCCTCTGTTGGGAATATGGAAGGAATTATTTCATTCTTTTTCCCCATCTATTTGTTCTCTATACTGTACTGTGTGTGGTTAACTCTGTCTTTGTCATAAATATATGTGGCAGAGACAAGTTTTTCAGAGGTTTCAACCGAACCATCTGGTTTGCATCTGTGGTTTTGCATATGTAAATATTATTATTAATAGTAGCAGAAGCAATCATAGTGACAGCAGGAATAGAAACACTATTAATAGCAGTAGGACTGACATTTTTATTTGTGCTGCTGCTGGAGGTCGCAGCACACACCAGGGCTCAGCCATGAGCAGGTCTGCATGAATGAGAACACAAGGATGGTTGTTACCCCAACAGCTTTCAGGGAGTACAAATACAACCACGGTGTGAAGAGCTCCAGCAGGGAAGCTGAAAAGCTGAGGATGTGGTTCCTGCTTATGCAAAGGCTGAATTTCTGCCACTGGATTCAGGGAATAATGGTGGCTTTTGGATTGCCTGGACCTGCAGTCCTTTGCTAGGTCTAATTCCTACTCTAGTCCTAAGCATCTTGTCTGTGTAAGGACAATAGGATTTTCTAGGTCTGCTCTTTGTCAGAGCAAATATTCATCTTGCTGGGGCTTGGGGGAGACCAGGCTTCTGTCTTGGTTCCATCTGCCACCGCCTTCTCCTTGCTCCTTAGAGTGTCAGTTTAGCACAGGCAGCAAGAGCAGTGCAAAAACACAAACTGTTGCCCTGCATTCTCCTTTAGTGGGGTCTAAAGTGCTTAGAGAAGGAATTGCTTTACTCTTGTAATTGAAAGTGATGGCTATTCTCCTTCTGCTAATTTAATAAGCTTCAGAACATCCATGGGGCTCAGAGGCACCTGGTAGCCTGAACAGAGCTGCAGAAGGCACCTTCAGAGAGGAGCAGGAAAGACAGGCAGTGCAAGGAGAAAGTCCAGCCCCCTGCCCTGTTGGGGTCTGATCCAGGCAGTGCCTCAAGCCACACACAGCTAATAAAACACATTTCAACACACATTTCTCCTCCCAGGTTCTCCCTGGGTCGTGACGGTATCTTTGTTCTAATAGGAGGAATGTTTTTTGTTCAGCTCTGGTTGTTTTGCTGGATCTGTGGTGCATTAAACAGCCCATCTTCTGGTTTATATTTTTTCCAGTTATCATATTTCATGTGTCCTGGCTCCTTTCATCCAGCCCTGCATCCCCACAAGCGGAGACCAGGCAGGATGCAATCCCTGAGCTAGTGGCTCTCACAGGCATGAGGAGGATGTGGACCCCCCATCCTCACGTGTCTCTTATGAACTGTAGAAGTGTTTTCACCGGAGAGCGCAACAGTTCCCTGTATTTTCTGGTAAGTTGGCCACCCAAATCATGTTACCATGGGCAGGTTGAAGCTGAAAGGAGAGATCCCACTGGCCTTGCTTCTGGTTTTGTCCCTGATGCCTTCAGAGATGTTAGGAAGCTCAAAGGTGGGAGATGTCCCTCCTTGTGGGCATGGTCTAAGGTCAGGCTGAGGTCACCCCATCCTAGCRGGTGGATTTACACTGTGTCTTGCTCCAAAATCCTGTTTCACGATTGCATGTAGGTCACTGAACACATCAGTCTTTGTGGTCACCCACACGAGCCTTGGTCCACCCCAAATCTATGCTGTCCCGTGGTGCAACCCACGCCATGCCAGCACAGTCGTGCTCACTGGGGACTCTGAGCTTCATGAAGACCACGTCCTGCTCTCCAACCCAAATCYCTTGTAAGACTTCCCCATTCCGGCTCTCAATAAATGCTCGGTTAATCCTTTCCTGCCCGCGTCAATGAGCAAGTGCTCCACACGGGTGGCCTGGCGGAATTCCCCCAGCCGGCAGCTATTAGCTAGCAGCTCCACCGGGAAGCCCCTGCCTAATCCAGCCCCCGCCCGCAGGGATGCCCAGACCCGTCCAGCTCCTCGGGCCGGGCACGCAGGGCCCAGCTCTCGCCTGCACAACCCGCCTCGTGGCGGAGCATCCGTCACCGAAACCTGCCCGCGCGGACGCCTGTCTGCACCGCCGGGGAGAGAAGAAAGGCCTGACAGCACAATTAGCAAGGGCAAATGAAAGCCCCTTTGAAGGGGAGGAGGGAGGAAAGGGGAAAGCTGCCTAAATCCCTGGTGGGGTTTTGGGCTTGACATCAAAACCCCTTAGCAGTGTGTTACTTCAGCCCTCGATGTGGACAGATGTTGAGCTGTGGCTCAAAGGAAGTCAGAAATTTTTCCTTAGGAAAAAAAAAATTGGCTGGGAAACTAAAGAAAATATTGTGAAAGAAAAGGAAATAAAAGCCCACTAAAGAAGATTTATCACCGCCTCAAGCATTTCTGTATCCTCTAGTCTTGCAGGGTCTAAGCCTCAGGGGAGGGGAAAAGAGAAACAATCTGTTTCTGCTCTAAAGGGTCACAAATTTAGAGAAGGGACATGTTTGTCCAGCTAGATGGTTGTGGAGGAAACCAGCTCACGTAGTCTGGGGGCTCCTCCAGCCCACTTTGCTGACCTCAGAAGCCTTGAGGAGGCCTCAGTGGCCTGTGCTGTGGCTCAGGCCTGTGGCACAAGCCTCCAACGGGAGCCTGGAGCTTTCCCTGGCATCCCCATTGCAACTTCTCCTGTCCCTTGTCCTTGTGGGCTGAACCCTTGTCCTAACCCAAGGTATTGACCCCTCTTCACATCCCAGCCTCCACCTGAAAGGAGCCAGAAGATTCCCAATGGCACCCGCCCACAGCTTGGCCTGTCAGCCCATTTCCAGTATCCCCATCAGTAGAGAAATGCCCCCTGGTTCAGACCAATGATCCAACTGCTACAAATTTCCATCTCCCACAATAGAAGATGACATTTAGGGGAACTCAAAAGCCTCAGCGTTTTCTCTCAATCTCTTGACTATTTAAGCTTTTTTTAAAATTATACCTCCCCAACCTTCCTTTTCAGCCAGACAGGCTGTTTTTCAGAACATTTTGGTTTTGAGCTGTGGCACAGGTTTTACTTGGGCTTTAATAGAATATTTTTTTAATCGCCTCCAGACTGCTTGCAGACTTCTTGCTTTTCGACATTTTGTTGTTGTTATTGACTAAGCACCTCATTTTTTCATAGTTCCCTCTCTCGAAATTACATAGCTGCATGCTGGATTTATTTGGTGTGCTCCCTCCCACTACAGCATTAAACTGGTTGTATTGCGGTCACCAGTACAGAGCAGCTCTCCCACAAACACCTTGTGAAGCAGGTCCCATGCACCACTGTGGACCAAACTGGAAAAGCAGCTATTCCTGCAGGCTTTAATAAACTGGCTGTCCTGGGATACTATTGTTTATTGTATACAAAAATACTTTTGCATCCTGAAGAAYCACTGAGCCAATCTATACATAGGCAGCTTAAATCTCTCACTACTACCACCTGACCTAAATTTCAGCTTCTCTAATCTCATTTTATATTTTCTGATCACTGTCTTCATCCTGATCAGCAATTGGCAGCAGAGTCTCGGCTCTGAATTTTTCCTGTTGGAGCCCGGGATTTCCCATTCCCAAGGATTCTGTAGTGATGCTCTTTTGCTGCTGCTCTGCTCAGCACAGTCCTTTACCCACATGGCCCCYCTTTTGCCCCATAGGTCCTGCTCCATCACCCTGCTGCAGCCAGTAGCAACATTTATCCCTCTGACTATTCCCCTTCCAGCATCGCACAGAGATGCCTGCATGCTGGCACCATATAGGACAATGAGAATGCCTGGCATGAGCATATATGTTTGAAGTTTTCAGTATTGGTAAAGTTAAAACTGTTTTAAAGGTAAAAATCCATAGATTTTGCCTTTGCTTGGTTGCTTCACACTGTTCATGCCGGCCTGCAGTGTTACACGTGGTCAAAGTCACCTTCTTTCCCTATTGCAAAGCACTATTYACTGTCCTCCAGGTCTTTAACTGCAGCTCTATCCCCTCACTGGGGCTGCAAGTTGGGCTTATTGTACCCGCTGACTTTCCCCTGGCTTCTCATTTGAGCACTCCTGTATGACMAACCTCTCCTTTCTCAGTGCCACCAACTCTGGATTAAGGTGTGGGACTCCATCCGATCCATGGGCTCATTGGAGAGGTTGGAGCTTCCTCCCTGGAGTGTGTGTCCCCCTCAGCACCTGAGCACTACAGAAGTGACTGGGATCTGCTTTCCATGTCCCTGAGGCTCTCCTTCCATCTTCTCCCTGGGCCTTTGGCTTTGTGCACTCAGTGAGGCACGAGGGCAAAAACAAAGCCCAGTACATCTCCATGCCCACACGTGGGGTGCTCTGTGACCTGACCTCTGCCTGGCTCATGAGCTTCACTTGCCCTGTCTGTAAAGCTCAGAGCATCTGTTTCCATGAAAAGGCAGGAAAGACAGCCCTTTACCTTACTCTTGTTAAGTCTCCTCTACAGCAAGTTAACACAAAGCTTTCTATATCATCTCCCATAGAGCCCAGCAATATCTGCAGCCATGCTTATTGGCCCTGGTCTAAATCATCCCCCTTTGAACCTGAGAGCCCTGCTCACTGCCTCCATCAACCAGCCCAGTCCAACCCAGCTGCAACCTTCCTCCTTGGGGGCCACCTGCTCCTCATCAGCCTCCACAGCACAGAAAAAGCTGCAGGCTACCCTTGGCCCTGCCTATAAGAGGTCATGGGATGGGTGTCCTGTGAGGAGCTGTTAGGAGTTATAGACTGGAGTCAAGGTGATGGTTATACCTCAACTGTGGGYACTCTGTGGTGGGGCTCCCCTGTGAAGGCAGCACCCTGACACATGCTGCACTAGCTTCTCTGAACCTGCATTCACGTTTTTCCCCCTTGCCTGTGGGCTCCTCCAAAACTAAGGACACAGGATGAGGAAGAGTCTGCATCCTGCTTTTCCAGGACAGTGGATCTCTCTGATTCAGAAGGTGTGTCTAAAGGATGAGGTGGGTTGCTGTTTTGGTTGTGGGTGCTGTGCCAGATGGAGTGTGTGTGTCACAGACTTAGGGCCAGGGTAAACTTGCAGCATTAGGTTCAGAACAAACCAGAGCCAGGCCAAAGAAGAATGACTTCTGCTGGTCTCTGGGTGTCACCTCGTGGGGACAGTCGGCAGTGCAGCTTGTTCTCCTCATTGAGATGCCTGATATAAGTGATTGCAACCATTCCTACCGGGGGTTAACCCCAAAATTCCTTGCAAGGCAGCAAGGAGTGCCAAGGAATGGCACTTCTTAACACCTTTGCTGCTAGTGACAGGAAAATGTTACAGCCTATAAAGAACTGTCCTTTAGGTCTGCTGCTTTTTCACAGTATTCCTCCTGCAGCACATACAGATGTGTGCATGCAAGAGCATCGGAACTGATCCCAGCAGGAGAATGTGACCCCATTACCAGGGGCTGAAGGACCCAGCCAGAATTGGGAGGCTGCGAGTGTTGTTTCTGGGGCAGCACCATTTCTCCTCTCCCCAGTAAGTCAATGCTTCCCACAATCCAACTCGGCACTCATGGGCTTTGAAAAATGCTCARAGCTTTGGGAAGACAACACTCCATTTTATATCTTGCAGACATCACTGCATCCTTTGAGGCAGCATCTACAATCCGTGAGCTGACTGAAGCAACCTGGTGTTGTTCCCAGCTGAGGCAGAGGTGAGTGAGGAAGGCTGGGGCTGCTCCCTCAGGAACAGGATGAGATGAGCAATTCTGAAAAGTGATTTGAGCAATTGCTGAACAGTCATGGAATGAATTGCAGCCAAAGGCAGGAGAGCATTTTGTAGTGCTTTTGTGGATGGACCTCTCTTAGACAGGGGCATTGGCTGTTGTGGCAAATAAATGTTGGTTCCAAAGAGCTGYTCAGTGGCATTTTCAGCTGAATGCCTTTGGGACCTGGCTCTTTTTTGGGCTCAGATGAGGCGAGGCTGGATCATCAGCAGAATAGAAGCCAACTTCCTTCTTCTCAAGCTCTCAGAAATATGTGGTGTTAGTGGAGTATTATTATTTTTAATAGCGTATATGTGGCCATAGTACAAGTTGCAGGTCCTTAAAAAAATCATCAAAGAATCTACAATTGTAACAGGTGGAAAACGTGCAGTAGGTACCAGAATATTGCATGTATTTTTCTGCATGCAAGACCTGGTCATGACTAAAAAATCTTCTCAATATTTAAAAAAAAAAAAAAAAATTAAAAGGTAGCCAAATAAGCATGTAAGATCTACATCTGTGTAGACCTATGCCTTGTGTAATCAAATGTGCAAGGTGCTAGGCCTTTGCACTTTGGAATATAGCAGTGTATGACCTAGTACTCAGTCTGTCCCACTAAAAATGTGTATTCAGCTGAATTAGCTACAAATTCAAACTCTAGGCTCCTACATAAAAATTATAAAGGGYGATGACACTGATGTTTGACACATTCCTCCTACAATATCTTCCCCTTTCCCAAACAGCAAGTACTTTGGAGAACTAGATAATAATACACTTTGTTTAYAAATGACTTGTATGGAAAGTGCTGTCTGCCACAGTTGTGCTTTATTTCCCACATACAAAACCAGTAGTCTCTTAAATGATGGATGACCTACGCTACGGTGTCCTTTGAACAATAAAGGATATCAAATGAAGGACATGTTTCCTGCCTGCAACCAGGATTCTCCAAGGATGCAGAGACTGCTACTCTCCCAAGGTATAAGGCACTGCAGAGAGGCCTGTCTCTGAGCTGAAGGCTGTTGAAGAAGTATCTTCCAATGGCCCGGAGGCTGCTTCTTTCCTAGCATGGTGCTGGCAGCATGTCAGCGGTCTCTTGTGCTGTTGGGGTGTTCCACACGCCGGTACTGAGCCTGTGTGCAGCTTGCCCTTCCGTGTCTTCGTTGAAACATGTTTTCTTTCCACAACCTGCTGGGCAAGGACTATAGTCAGCTGAAGCACCTCCTACTCGCAGCAAGGAATGGGACAGGCCTGGATGAACTGCAGGTGTTAGATCTCCCCCTGCCATCAACCCCATTCCCATGCAATGCTCCTGCTTCTTGCCAGTAAGACTACTCTAAGGAGGGGAAATGACAAGTCTTCCTCATTTGTTCCCTTCTGTTCCCTCTGTCCACTCCTGACCCACAAACCTCTGTTTCTTGCACTTCTTCCTCCCTTGATTGTCATTAGTGCCCTTCAGTAGCATGGCAGTAGGGCCCAGGACAATGAGCCTGTCTAATGGATTGTGCCACTGAGCACRTGCTGCACTTCACACCCAGATGTGAACCTGAAACATTTGTAGTAGCATCAACCAGACTCATACAACAGGCCAAGCAGTGTAGGCCTGGACTGTGTGGTGGTACAGACTTCAGGTACAAATGGGATCCTGGGACAGGTATTCTAGAAGCTGCAGAGGTTCAATGGGAAGAATCACCCATGACTGTTTTGGCACAACTGTGTACACATACCGTTTTCGTGAGAATTGCTGGTCTATCTCTTCTAAGGACTGCCCCTTCGTTTCCGGAACAAAAAGGTAAATGAATACAACAGCCAGCACTCCTATCAGTCCATAGAGAAGGAACATCCAAGAGAAACCAATGGCATCTGCAGAGAAATTCAAGTGTGTGATGAGTTCATGAGAGGCAAGTTACATCATGGACAGGAAGGAAACTAGTCTCTTACTGCAAAGTAGTCACTGGTATCTGGTAGGGATATCTTGAAGTCCTCAAAAGGGCTCATTGGCAAGGGCTGGACCAGAAATCAGCTAGGGAKAAGGACAGCTCACACATCTGACACCCCAAGTTCAGAACAGCAGAGCCAGGGCACAGCAGAGTCTGCTGAATCCTCAATTAGGAGAGCTCTGGCAGCCAGAAGGGTATTAAAACCACAAACTCAATGATCTCCTGATATTGCAGTAACATAGTACGGCACATGTTCTTATGAAGCATGGCACAGTGGTGCTCAGAATAGTTTCTGCTGGTGGCAGGTGGACACTGCCTGTTTTGTCTTGTAAATCTTCTCTCAGAGGCATCAGTTCCCCATAAACAGGTTACATCTATTTCAATGCCAAGACCTCATGGCTCAAAATGCACCTAATATCCAGACAGCTTATGGTGACCACCTTCACAGATCTGTCTGTGGGAAAGGGAGGGATGGGGGCACACTTACCAATAAGGTCCAAGAATGACAGACTGATCAGTAAATTAGCAGCCCAGTTAAAGCTGTTGCAGAAGGCAAAGGCTCTTCCTCTTATTCCAGCAGGGTAGATTTCACTGAGGACCAGCCAGGTCACTGCAGAGATTACAAAGACAGTCGTATAGTTTGAGCAAATTATTTGGGAATAGGTGAACAAGTTTTTGAGTGAAGGTGGTTACAGAGCGATAAATGCTGGGTTCACCCAGCACCCAGTGCTGTTGGTGACAGAACATTCACAGATCTTAGCATGAGGTTAGAGCCAAGCACTTTAAAACTTCTGCCTGCAGCACTCTGGGGAGGAAGGGTATAAAAATGCAGAGATACAGGTTCAGTGAGCAAACAGTAAGGCAGGGGAGCTGGTCACTAGGTAGATGGAAATGATTTAAGAAATCAAACTTGGTTTCTGGACATGCTTTTTGTAAGGAAGTGAGAAAGGAGTGAATGAATGAATAATATGAAATAAATGAATAATAACTTTGGAAGAAAACAAACTGGTAGTGAGAAACTTTCARGAAGGAACAAGATTAGGAAGTGCTCATGAGATACTCTGATTTTGCAGTGAGTGTGAGAGGAAAAAGTCATTGCTAGGATAGTGGTTGTGTGGAAGGGAATGTTGTCCTTCTGCCACACCAACCTCAGCTGACAGAGCTGGACTCCTAGGAAATCATTCAGCAGGCAGAGGGCTGYGGTTTTGTTGTTGTTGTTTTAGTTTCTAAATGCCCAGCTGCTCAGTAAAGAGACATGCAACCACTGTTTTTCAAGAGGACTAAGTACCAACTCCAGTGTTATTCTCAGAGTTAATACGGGGATATATAAGTGCCATACTTACTCGGTCCAAATCCAATTGAGAAGGCGCTCACGAAAGCCATCATGCTCAGCAGTGTAATCCAGTTTAAAACCATATGTTCTGTAAAGGGACCTCCACCGATGGGAGACTCTGTGCTTTCCACTGTCTCTTTTTCAGAGTGACCTATCAAGTCCATTTTATGAAGGTGGGAAGAGTCTGTACCAACAGCTCTGCTTTGGGCACCCCTTGCAGCAGCAAAACCAGGGCCTGCCCAGCTTCTGCCAACCCCTGAAGCGAGTGGGAAGGGTGACACAGGGGTATGGGAAGATGCTGGTGTCAGGAGATGTTGTGTGTAGCTGTGGGAGGCATTGGGGTCTGTGGCTGCCTCACAGTCCCTGGTCACGGCCAGAGGAGAGGAGCGGCTCATGAGACCAATGATGGAGACCGAAATTGCCATCACAACACAGCCAGCAATGAGCAACGCTCTCCTCCCAGCCTTGTCTGCAAACGCCATTGCAACAAGCGTGGCAACCACCTTGATYGCCCCCAGCCCCACGGAGGCCAGGATCGCAGAAGAGTTGCTCTGGAATCCCACTGAGTGGAAGATTTTGGAAGCGTAGCCCAGGACGTTGGGCTGCCCAGTGAATTGCTGGAAGAGCACCAGGCCCAGGCCTACCAAAGTCCGGCTTCTCATGTTGTCTCTGGTCCTGAAAAGGTCAAGAAAAGAGTAATGCTTCTCTTTATACGACTCCTGCTTTTCTGCCTCTCTGTCTTCCGTGGTCTGCAGTTGAATGAAACCCTTCTGGGAGTCTGAGTCCCAAGTATTTAATTTAACAGGATTCACAGGGAGAAAGAGGATACTCAGGAACTGCATGGCAGCTGGGGCAATGGCCAGTCCAAACATGTACCTCCATCCCTCAGCCACATCTGCAAAGATGTAATTCAGAGCATATGAGAGTAAGATGCCTACAGTGACGCCTGCTTCGTAGAGAGACACCAGCAGTCCTCGTTGATGAGCAGCCACCATTTCTGAGACGTAGATGCAGCAGGCCATGGATGAGACAGAGATTGCAAAGCCCACGGTCATGCGCCCAATGACCAGCCCAATAAAAGATCTTGCCAGTGTCAGAATAAGGCTGCCCAACAACAGTACCAAGTTGCTGACCAGGATTGCTCTCCTCCTTCCATGGCGGTCAATGAGGATCCCCCCAACCAGAGAGGCAAGGAGAGCTCCAATGAGTAGGGAGCTCACAAGAACTTCCTGCTTGAAGCAGCTGAGGTGAAAGTCTATTTGCAACTGCAATAGAGCACCAGAGATGATCCCAAACTCGTATCCAAATATCAACCCGCCCAGAAGAGAGACTGCTGCAGATAAGAGGAGGACCAGCAGTGCACGACCTGGAAAAGAAGCAAGCAATGCCAAGTTCAATGTTCTGGCTCTTGCAGGAAAGCTGTCAGCATGCACAAACTGGAAAGGAAGATATTCTGGCCTATCACAAGGTCAAACTGTCCCAGTATCATCACGATATATGGAGAGGCACTGCAGACATTTGCACAATTTYGCAGTTCTCACTCACCAACCTCTTTGGGAGAAGAGATGCTTCTGGACTTAATTTTTGGTGCTATGAAGCATTTACTACAGAAATACTACCACAATTCCTCTGGCGCGTGGCACTGTACTCGGGGCTTTTCTTACATTTTCAGTATTTGTGGGAATGGTCGTGATTTCTTCCTCCCTGTGTGGCACTCAGCACCTAGGGCCCCYAAGCCAGGCACAGCTTCCTTGAAGCTGATCCACAGCTATGGGATGAACTTCACCACGAGCCAAAAACCTCACTGTTGCCTGCTACAAGTACAAGCAGCATTTCTTTGACCTTGTCCTTCCCACAGAGCCGAGTACGCAACATCAGTAAGTATGTCAGTTTAGATAAAATAAGAAACAACAGCAAAAGCAAAGCAAGCCAACCAATCCACCCCAAGCAAGCCTGCAAAAACAAGGTGCTTGATGCACGTGCTCCTCACCCTGGGGAGAGGATGAAAGGGGAACCGTGGTGAGCAACGTGTTAGTCATGCAGCTCAGCAGGCTGCTGGGAGATGCTCACTGCAGGTGGGAGCAAATCAAGCACCCCATGGCCAAAGGGGACTGGAAACCCTGGAGGCAGTAACAGTGACCTCCTGCCCCCATTGAATTTTGGAGGTAAAATGTGTTAGCTTAGATGCTTTTGCTGTAAAATGCTGGTTTAYAGCACGTGATGGTATTGGTAATCTCGCACAAGTTTTGTTTAATCAGAAATACAATTTCAGTGCACTGTATATGGAAAGAATGTAGACACAACTACCAGAGATGGAAAGTTTTCTTCAGTCAAGGCTAAGAGCTTTTTTCCCTCACAAGCTGTGTTTAAAAGGAAGTGTCTCTATTCAGCATTTAATCGTGGCTAGCAGCAGAGGTTATTTCCCAGTGATGGCTACATTTGTATTTGTATTTGATCTGCAGCTCTGTGTTTCGGTTGTTACTCATGCCATCCAGGCTACCTGCCAATCCCACCACCACCACCCATGCTCTGTGTGGCTGCCTGCTCTGCTCTTATCACTTTTTGTGCACACAGCAGGCAGATAATTAGCAACAATATTTGCTTGGTGAAAATAAAAGGCTTTGCATAAAATGGGCAGGCCATCACAAACTCAGATGTGTATGGCCCTGGTGAAAATACCAGAACTGGTTCGATTGGATTTTGATATATTTTGTGCTAACTTTATGAACTTTGATTAAAATCCAGGTTTGTATAGGACTAATTCTGATGCTTTCAGGAAAAGCAGGGATTTTTCAGACCTTTGTATGAGGCTGGAAAGTTTGGAGAGTCTCCTAGGGAGTCGGGACAGGGATTTTGCCCATGACAAAATGTGACCATAGGGCCAAGGTTCGGGACAGTGCAGTGACGGGGCYAGCCTCTGAGCTGCCAAAGACTTTACATGCCAACACCATCTCCTTTAGCAAAACCTGCGGCTCCTGGTCCTCTTGGTCTGCTGTTCTCCTGGCTGCAGCCCTCTCTCTTCCCTCTTCATGCTTCTGGAATCGCCTTAAGGGCTGTGTCACAGGAAATTACTTGTCTCCTAACGCTTGCTGCTGGAARTACTAGGGAAAAAAGGGAGAAGGAAAGAGCGCGAGCGAGCGCCATTCTGCGCCTGCAGGAAAAGTTTCGGTGAGAAGTTCCGACTCTTGCCGGGCTCGTCCCGCCCGCTCCCAGCCTGGCCGCCTCCCGCCGGGGTCCCGCCGCCTCGCCCCGGGCCGCCCGGGGTCCCGCGGCCCCCGGGGCCGGGCTCGGGAGCTGCCGCGCGGGGCCGGCACTCACCCATGGCGCGGCGGGGCTGCGGCGGGGCTGCGCGGGGCTGCGCGGGGTCCGGCCGGCGCCACGTCGCTGCGGGGCGGAGGGGGGCCCGGCTCTGCCCGCCCCATCGCGGCCCGGCCCGCTCCGCTCCGCTCCGCCCCGGGGCCCCGCGCGGCCGGGCGCCTCCCGCTGCCCCCGCAGCCGCCGGGCAGATGCCCAGGGTGGCCCAAACTCATCCGAACGCTGGAACGCGGGAACGTTCCCGGCGGCTCCACGGGCGCGGCGGCAGCGGCCGGCGGGGCAGCTCTATGCCATGTCTCTGCCGTCGTGACTTTAGCTGGGGGTGGGAATCGCCTCTCCCTGCTGTACACGGACACTCTTTAGGCAGAGTTTTATTCCTCTGCACCAGAAACCAGCCAGGAAGCTCTCCAGGGACTGGCAGCTCGTGACAGGCTTTTGGTGGTTCGGCAAAGAAGGGCTGCTAGGGAAAGAGGGGTCATTTCAAGCCTGGAAAGGAGCCGCACGGCAGAGCTGGAACTCTGCTTCACTGGTGCGGAGTCACCCCTGCGGCGGCACAGCCCACACAGCCCTCTGGGGCAGAAAAAAATAAAGCCCCCAAATAAATGCATTGGGTCAAAGAGAATGCATGATACTGGTAAAAGAGCTTTCCAGCATTTATTCTGCATCTTAACTGAGTAGACAATTTAGGAGAAATATTTAAAGACTAGTTATTTTTGCATGTAGATGCAAGATAGATGTAACATTAGGACCAGCTCCGCTGGCTCCCAGGGACTTCTTCGGCATTTGAAGGGAAAAAGAAAAGGGAAATTTGAAGGGGAAAAGAGTAAATGGCATCAGAAGGGAGCTAACAGTTAAATAAATAAATAGATGGAGAAAAAATAAAGCAAGAGTATTTGCTTTTGCATTTCAGAGAGACTCGGGAGGATGATTTTGGCTAGTGTGAGGGAYGACTGCTGTGGTCGCCAAAATGATGAAGCCATGGGAGGCACCCRGGCACACTCACTCAGGGGTTGCACATGTGGGCGCGAGGGGGCTGCGGAAACCTGCCCCCCAAGGGAAAAGGCGCCTCTGCTGCTGGGGTGCTCGATGCTGTCTGCTTGTCCCCGGGGCCTGTTTCTCTGCCCAGGCTTGGGGCTGTCGCATGCTCCCCCCTGAGATGACAGGGCGGGATGATTTCCATGCTGCCGAAGGCTTGGGAATGTTCTTTGGGAGTTGTTCCTGGGACTGGACCAATATTTGCCGAGCAGGATCCCACCGGGTGCACGACAAGGTGGCTGGAAGGAACGCGTTAACAAAACATAAATAACGCAAAAGAGAAACAAACGCTGCAGGCAGGAAAACACAGACGCAAGGGACGTTTGGCAGGTCCCAGGGCCACGACCAGGAGTTAYCTACGGGCACTGGCGCCGATGCCTCTTTCTACCGCCGGGGGCCGCTCTGGCGCGGGGCGTCCCGCACGAGGGCGCGCTATAGCGGGGGCGGCGCGGGCGGTACCGGCGGCGCGCGCTATAGCGGGGCTCTGGCCGCGGTACAGGCGGGGGAATGTTCGGCTGTTTCCGCCGGCCGCGGTACAGGAGGGGAAATGTTCGGCTGTTTCCGCCAGCCGCGGTATAGGCGGGGGAATGTTCGGCTGTTTCCGCCGGCCGCGGTATAGGCGGGGGAATGTTCGGCTGTTTCCGCCGGCCGCGATACAGGAGGGGAAATGTTCGGCTGTTTCCGCCAGCCGCGGTATAGGCGGGGGAATGTTCGGCTGTTTCCGCCAGCCGCGGTACAGGAGGGGAAATGTTCGGCTGTTTCCGCCGGCCGCCTCCGGAGGCTGCCGAGGAGGCGGCGCGGCGCGTGCGCAGTGCGGCGGGCGCGCACGGGCGCCGTCATGGCGGCGGCGGTGGCGGGCGGCGTGGGGCCGGTAGTGGCGGAGGCGGCAGCGCCTGGGGCCGGGGCCGAGACCAAAGCCGAGGTCGGGGCCGGGGCCGAGACCAAAGCCGAGGTCGGGGCCGAGACCAAAGCCGAGGTCGGGGCCGAGGCCGAGCTGGAGGCCGAGGTGGTGCCGCCGCCGCTGCCGGGGCTGCAGCTGGTGCAGCAGGGCGCCGAGGCCTGCGTGTTCCGCGGGCGCTTTCTGGGCCGCGAGGCCGTGGCCAAGCTGCGCGTGCCCAAGCGCTACCGGCACCCGGCGCTGGAGGAGCGGCTGAGCCGGCGGCGGACGGCGCAGGAGGCGCGCGCGCTGCTGCGCTGCCGCCGGGCAGGTGCGCTCAGCCCCAGCGCCCGCGGCCGCCACGGCCGCCGACCGGCGCTCACCGCCCTCTGCTCTCTTCCCCACCAGGGATTCCCGCGCCCGCCGTCTACTTCGTGGACCACGTCACCAACTGCATCTACCTGGAGGACATCGCGGGCGCCGTGGCGGTGCAGGACCACATTGAGAGCGTGCAGCGGCGCGGAGGCGACGCCGGCAGCCTCCTGCCCCTCAGCAAGAAGCTGGGCGCGCTGCTGGCCAGGCTGCACGACGAAGACCTCATCCACGGCGACCTCACCACGGCCAATGTCCTCCTGCGGCCGCCCGTGGAGAAGCTGGACTTGGTGCTGATAGACTTTGGGCTCAGCTTTGTGTCAGGCCTTGCTGAGGATAAGGGAGTTGACCTGTATGTGCTGGAAAAGGCCTTTCTTAGTGTTCATGCTGGAGTGGAAACTGTTTTTGAGACTCTGCTGAAGACCTATGCAGCTACATCAAAAAAGTCTGGTCCTGTTATCAAAAAGCTGGATGAAGTGCGGCTTCGGGGTAGGAAGAGATCCATGGTTGGCTAGGAGAGAGCGGTGATGGAGAAGTRTTACTGATTAGGTTCTGCAAACATGTTTATTTATACTTCGGTTTGGTTTTACTCCATARATGGCTATTTTGGTAATGCTGTGTCTTAAATAAATTTACTACACATAGTGGTAATCTTTGCGTAGTTTCTTAACACAGTCAGACAGTAACAAAAGTATTAATGAAAGATGAGAGCTCAGGCTAGAAACAAACAGCTAAAGGTTACTTTCCTAAATGCTGCTTTTTTTTTTTTTTTTTAATGTAAAGTATCTTGCAATGCCGTTCTGCTGGCCCACTGTTGTGTAGGTGGAATCATAGTGAATGACCTCTAGGCTGTGGACTGCACCTTGATGCTACCTAGTGCGAAATGAGCATGGGCAGAGCAGGGCTCTAGGAGCAAAGCAGGCAAATGGAAGGAGCAGACTGCTGAAACAGCTTTCTCTGTCATGCTCTGCTCCATCTTTCTTTCTCTTCTCTCCTCTTCTTGCTCTCGCTCTCCAGCTCTCGCTCTCTTCTCTCTCCTCCTTTCCTTGCTCTCTCTATCCCCTCATTTCCTCATCCTCTCTCCTCACTCCCCTTTCTGTCTCTCTGCTCCCTCCTTTTCTCGCTCTCCTCACTCTCTCCTTTTCTCTCCCTCCTCTCTCCCTGCTCCGTGCCGCTCGGTGAGCAGCGCCGCGGCCGCCCCATCCCGCCCAGCCGGCAGCCCGGGCTGTGATGAGGCGGTGGCGCCYGTGCAGCGCTGCCGCCCAGCAGCCGCGAGCCCGCGGGTTCGCGCCCGCCCRTGCAAGCGTCCTAGCGCGCCGGCTGCCGTGCCCCGCGCGCATTCACCTCCTTGCCAGAGGAGCCGCCCTGGGCGAGTGCCCGACCCCAGCGTGGGGCCCGGGTTCCACCGGCCCAGCAACAGCTTTGCTGCCACRTGGGGAGGGTTCTGAAAAACACCTCTCATGAGTGGTTTTTTTCCTTTCCTATTGCTGTTTCTACAGGACCCTGTTCAGGGGGCAGTGGAAAGTGCAGAGGCAGCAGGTAAGAGGCAGATCCCTGCGGGTGTGGAGGCTTTGAAGATGCCAGCCCTCTTGCCAAGTTGTGTTCCTTGCGAGCTGGAGGGTGGTGGTTCTGCCACCACAGCACATACTGATGGCTGATGCTGGAGACCGCTCCCATCCTCCTCGGAGAGCTCACAGGGTCGCGCTCCTGCACCGTCCTGCTGCCCGAGGAGCAGCCACCCCCTTGCAGGGCTCCCGAGGGGACGGGCAGGCCGCGAGCCGCTGCCCGTGAGCCAAGGAGGCCAGGCCTGAGCCCCGCGGAGAGGAGCAGCRCGCGGGCCCCACGTCCCCCACCTGCACAAACACTTCCCTAACTGCCTCCCGGTGACACCGGGATTAAGTTTTGTTTGTAGAGTGCTTTGAAGGCGCTTGTTTCCAACCATCGTTGTGTTTATCAGAAYGCAGCCTTTGGCCGCTCTCCATTCGGGCCCGCAGAGCAGCAGCCGCAGCAGCAGCRCCGYCACTGCGGGGTTTTACAGCCAGYGCGATGTTGTGTGCAGGGGTGGCAGGCGTTCGAGCTGCAGCCCCGGCACTGGCCTCTCCTGAAACCTTCTCTTTGGTGTCAGGACCAAGCAGAACATCACTGAYGGTGGGAAAACGAAACATTTCCCTTTTGTTTGTTACATGACAAAATTCCTCATTACATAACTTATTTTTACACAGCTGTATAACAGCCAGTTGATATTTCCTCTTCATCAGCAAGTTGGTTTTATGTAAACTGCTGTAGTGCATGTGGAACAAATGCTGTACGATGGCAGAAGGATCACAGAAAGGGAATATCCAGCAAAGTGAAGCTTTCTGCACAGAAACAGAGCTGGTCCCGTGTCGTGTTCGATTTGTCCTCTTCTGCAGCCTAGGCCTTTTCACTATGGCTTCGAGTGATGCTGCTGCAAACATGGTTTCAAGCCACCAACACTCTTTGAGAGTTTGGGTTGACTTTGTAAATGAAGTCATGGCCATATATCTTGAGACCAAGTTAACTTAGCTGAGTTTAATCTCCATTACTGTCTTTTTAGGACATGGGAGCAGGTACCTCGTCGCTGTAGCTCCGTGGGACGTCAGGAGAGATGGTGATGGCCTGGCTCACTAGGAAGGGATTTTCCCCTGCTGTAAAGGGTATGTTGGCCTTTGCACACACTGAAACACTCCAGCCCATCTCCTCAATACTAGTGAGAATCGGAGGGAATGTGACCAGCAATTGCGGATATTGTACATAGCCACTGGGTGTCCCCCTGCCATTGCCACCAGCACTAGGAAAATCTTAACAGCTGGGAAAAATGTTCTTGCAATAGCAAACCCTTATCACTGCCTGCCAGACAGGTAGGTGCTCCCTTGGCTGCTTTTTTCACTTCTCAGATATTCCTGCTTTTAAGGATTACTGCCTCAAGGGACCAAATTCAGGTGTGTTGTGAATAGGTTCATTTGCAGKGACCTTGCAGCACAGCCTGTTCTTGTACTGTGCTTAATTCCACCCAGAAAGCAGTGAGCAGCAGGTGTGTGCTGGTAAGCTACATAAAGAGGAGTAAAATAAAGAGGGAAGAGCAAATGAAATGGAAATRGGGGAGTTTCATTAGAAGTTACAGAGTCAGGATTTCAGAGAAGTGCTTATTGATTAAGTTAGCATTTTTTAAGTTTGGTGTTTGGCCATCATCAGTGATTCTCAGAGTGATATGATGTTACCATGACTTTGGACAGTGTCTTTGGGGGTGTGCAGTTCCTGTGTATATATGTAAAAATTGTGCATACAATTTAAATGGATGTTTATTTCTTGAACATAATTTTTTTCCAGTCTAGGCCTTGATCTTTGCAGGAAATTGGTGTTTTCCATTTTTTCAAGATGCAAAGTATTGGTAACCTCCCACAGCTCTCCTCTTCCATCAGTGCTGATAGGAAACCAGCGCAGTGCAATAAACTCATAAAAGCGCATTAGTAGCCCGGCATGCAGTACGTGAGGGCCCCTGCAAACAGATAAAGCCTCTCCCTGGCCGAGCAGAAGCCCGTGTGCCCCAGCGGTGCCCGGGGTGCTGTGCAGCACCTCTCCCTTTTGCACAAACAGCTCGTGCACAAAGTTGCTTTCCAGGGAGGTGCTGCAAACTGCTGCCAGCCAAAGGTGCTGACCTCACCAGCAGCCCCGCAGCAAGGGGAAAATCCAGCCCCCTTGGCTGCCTCCTCCCTTCCTTACCCCTTCTCCTGCTCGATCGGGCAATAGAGCAGATCTGCTGCTTGCTGGCCTCCCTGCAGCCACCGGTACGGGCTGAGATCCTTGCTGGGATCTCAGCCACCGGTACGGGCTGAGATCCTTGCTGGGATCAGCATCGGGGCAATGGAGGAGATGCTGTTCCGACCAGCAGCAAAGCCTGGAGCGGGAGTCAGGCAGCACTTGTGCTGCCTCTTCGACTGGCAGTCGAAGCCTCCTTAGCTGCAGCATTTGCTCCATGCCAGGTTACATTAAGACCAGTCAGGGTCATATGCTCCTTGCTTTATTTCTTGGGCTTTTGCTTGTGCAAGCCAAGGCTCTGCCTCCTGCTTTGCGGGTATTTCCCATGGCCCTCTCCCGATGTGCATCACCAGCCTTTTGTTTGCTGCTCCTCGCTGCTGTTTAAAGCAGAAAACTGTTTCAAGCGGCACTGCAAACAGCTCAACAGGCATCTGAGTCACTAGCTAAGCTCAGCTGATGGAAACAAGCTCAACTCCCTGTTTTCTCATGCTTTTGATTTTTTTTTATAATGTGCATTTGTATATTATTTCTGTCTGTTGCAGGAAGTGCATGAGAACTAAAATAGATATTTAAACGGGATTTTTTTTTCCTTCTAGCAATACCTTGTGCTCACTCTCTACTTACATGAGGTACTTTGAGCCTGAGTTCCCAGGATAACTTGATGCTCTTTTATGGCCTGTGCTCTCCTGGTGCTCAGCCTGGATGAGCTCTTGTGATGCTGGAGTCCTTGAGCCTGTTTGTCAGAGCCCCCGCTGCTCCCCCCGGCTGCAGCGGCTGCGATTGGGAAGACATGGAAGAGAGGAGCAGAGTTCCCTTTGACCCTTCCCTGCAGCGGGAGCTGACGGGAGCATGGAGCCGCTTGGGCTGCAAGGCACGTGCTCCGCGACAAGACATGTGTTCTGCTGGAGATGCCATGAGGAACATGGAGAGGTCCAGATGTTAGAAGACACCCCCGATTTGTGGCTGGACACCTCCCTGGGGTGCGCAGGGCTCCAGGTGCTACTGCACGGTGAGGGCACACGATGCTCAAGGCCCCATTTAACCCTTCCAGCAAAACCTGTTATGCCCCTGGCCTCCYTGGGGCTCCCCAAAGTCATTCTGGAGCTGGGCTCTGGTTTGCCCTGTTTTGGCTTGTTCCCCCTGGCCCTGGAGGGACTGTGGGGGGGGGTCTGCATGTGCCAGCAGCTCCCACGGTGGGTGTCACACATATAGGGAGGCTGGGGGTGGTGTAGTGGGGCAGGGGGCACTACAGCAGTGGTGGGGTGGAATAGTGGGGATGGGATAGCAATAGTGAACCACATAGTGGGATGGAGGCAGGATGGCGGGGCAGGGTAGAGGGGGGCGGTGCAGAGGGATGGGGGGCAATACAGCAGACAGGTGGGGTCAGGTGGGGTAGCACGGAGGGCAGAGGGCGTGTGGCAGGGTAGGGGGTGGTGGTGTGGGCGGTTCTGTAGCAGGGGGCCGCGTGGAGGGCAGGGGGGTGGACGATATAGCGGGAAGGGGTGGTATAGAGGGATAGGAAAGCAGGGGGTGGTATAGAGGGGTAGGAGAGCAGTAGAGCGGGCTGGGGGTGGCCGCAGGGGAGCAGGGCAGCGGACGGGGAGCCGTGTAGCCGGGCAGGGGCCGGGCGGGGGGCGGCGCTCGGGGCCCGGCCCGCGCTGTCCTGCCCTCCGCGGGCGCGCCCGGCCCCGCGGCATAAAGCGGCGGCGGCGGCGGCCCCGCCGGGCCGGGCCGGGGCCGGGGCGATGGCGGCGCTGGGGGCGCTCGTGAAGAAGGTGTGGAGCGTGCGGCGGGTGCTCGTGCTGCTGGGCGCCCCGCTCGCGCTGCTGCCCGTGCTGCTCAGCCTGCCCGCCAAGGTACCGCGCCGGCCCCGG